TCTATTCCGGTCAAGGGCACATGCCCGGGTTGCGGGCTTGATCCCCAGTAGGAGGCGTGCAGGAGGCAGCTGACCCATGATACTCTCTCATCATTGATGTTTCTATCTCTCTCTCCCTCTCCCTTCCTCCCTGAAATCAATAAAAATATATTTAAAAATAAATAACTAAATTTCTTCCTTACAATGTATAGGTTAAATCTAAACCATAAAACCATGCAAACTGCTTGGTGAAAACATAGAGAACAGGTTGGAAAGAGGAAGCTGGGCCAGAAGCGAGAGTCAGCGCTGTCCAGTGGCACTTCCTGGGGTGACCGACTAGAAAGGTGCTACCGTGGCTGCGGGGCACTTGTATGTCCTGGCAGGACTGCAGAACAGGTTGGAAAGAGGAAGCTGGGCCAGAAGCGCGAGTCAGCGCTGTCCAGTGGCACTTCCTGGGGTGACCAACTAGAAAGGTACTCCCCGTGGCTGCGGGGCACTTGTATGTCCTGGCAGGACTGAGGAACTGGACTCTCAATGTGAACTGACCTACATGTAAATAGCGACATGCGGTGAGCAGCTGGTGTGTTGGACAGCACAGATCCAGGCTCAAGAAACGGTACAGCCAGGAAGAAAGTGGAGGGCGAGCCTGTCCGAATCTCTCACTGCACAGACGAGGAAAGAGAGCGCCAGGGAGGAAAGCCCGTGTCCCCGTCACTGGTTAGCGACTGTGCTACTGTAGGGAGCGGTCGTGTGTGCTGAGGGTCAGGAACATGGATGATGGGGCGTGAGGAGCTGAAGAAGGTGGAGGGAGGAGGACACTGTGGAGCTGTGTGCCCACCGTGACGACCGAGCACTCATCTCGTTCCTGTTCCCAGACGGTCACTGGCCCCCGCTCCACTTGGAATGAGATCCCAGTGTCCTTACCATGGCCTGCAGGGCCCTCTGTGACCCAGCCCTGGCGCTCCCAGACCTCATTCTGCACGGGTGGAGGGAGGAGGACACTGTGGAGCCGTGTGCCCACCGTGAGACCGAGCACTCATCTCGTTCCTGTTCCCAGACCGTCACTGGCGCCTGCTCCACTTGGAATGAGATCCCAGTGTCCTTATCTGGGCCTGCAGGGCCCTCCGTGACCCAGCCCTGGCGCTCCCAGACCTCATTCTGCACGTCTGCGTCTCCGCTCCAGCCACACTGGCCACTTACTGTGCCTCAGACGTCCTGGGCTCATCTCTGTCTCCGAATCTTTGCATTGGCTCCCCACTCTTCTGCAATTCGCTCCCCCTAGATCAGCGGTTCTCAACCTGTGGGTCGAGACCCCTTTGGGAGTCGAACGACCCTTTCACAGGGGTCGCCTAAGACCATCGGAAAACACATATATAATTACATATTGTTTTTGTGATGAATCACTATGCTTTAATTATGTTCGATTTGTAACAGTGAAATTGGGGGTCACCACAACATGAGGAACTGTATTAAAGGGTCGTGGCATTAGGAAGGTTGAGAACCACTGGTATAAAGGGAAAGCTTCCTCCATGTTGCTTTGCTCAGACTTTGAGAGGCAACTCCTCTGAGACCCCTGGCGTAATAAAGACTCCAAATTTGACAACCACCAAGACCGGAGACACCCCAGAACTTACTCCACTGGGGTCCCAGAGGCCGCTGCCACGTTGGGCCTCCCCGTCCATTGCTGGGCTGAGGGGAGATCTGGCACAAGAGCCAGCAGGGCTCGGTACTGACCTGTGTGGTGGTCCTTCAGCACCTGACCAGCCAGCTCAGTCCAGATGCGCCCCATTGAGTGCCATCCGTCCGTCAGCCCAGCTAAGAGCGGGCATGGCTATGACATGCCACACCTAAGGGGCATGTCCGAGACCACACAGCCAGCCCTGGTAAGGCTGGAGCAGGTGCGTCCTCCCAGGAAGGATGTACATTTTGAATTTTTAGGAAACATACCAGGCCTTGTCCCATGTTATAAAGAAGATCCTTAATTCAACACGCAGTAGCCGAGCCAGCTGTCCCGTAACATTCAAAACTCTCGCTCTTGGGAAGCTGTGTGTGCCCCTCCAGCGAGAGCTGTGGGTGTTTTTTATGCACTTCATGATCACATTGGAAACGTTCACTATTTAAGTTTATTAGCAGAGCTTAGAATTACTCTTATTTTGTCTCTGAGGTAGCAGATAGGTTGCCCATTGTCTTTGAGACTCAGTGGGATTATCAAGAGCTGTTAGGGAACCTTTTGTTGCCTCTGCTTGTTCTCTGTGATGGTGTGCGTTGGTTTAAGTTATATTTTTGCAAAATGACTATAAAACTTGTTTACTATCTTATTACATATCTATTTAATTTTAGAAAATCAAAATTATAAGCATTAATAGGATAGGATATGTATGTGTATATATAGAATGTACATGTAGATATGTCTGGAACATCCTATTGATATATCTGGAACATTCCACTGTAGAGTTTGGGGAAATGCTGGTTTAGACCATATACATCTTGGAAGGCTTAACTCATGTTCCTGTCTTTCCCTTGAAGCCTTTCTTCACTTCCACAGTCTATCTTGATTTTCCATATTGAGAAACGCCCTAGCATTTAGTATGAAAAACGTATTATTTTACACTTGACTGTTGAGTGTTGTTATTGCCCATTTTTGCGTGTGACAAGTCTTTTCTCCGTCAGTAGAGACTATGAAATCGTACACTTAGCGTGGCAGCATCAACACTAAGCACAGAGAAGTCATCCAGCTGTTACTTGACATGTGTTGCTCAGAACCTAAGATGCTACCAGGAAATTTCACTCTTTGTAATATTTCTCTCCCAGCAGTATAAGTGATTTAGCTCTTCACACTACACCCGTGTGAGGGTAAGAACACCAGTCGGACAAAAATACATTTATGTCATTTCAGGATTTGGTGACATTTGGGGATGTGGCTATAGATTTCTCTCAAGAGGAGTGGGAATGGCTAAATCTTGCTCAGAGGAATTTGTACAGGAAGGTGATGTTGGAGAACTACAGGAACCTGGAATCGCTGGGTAAGGTCTCCCCGTAATTCAGAATCTCCCCAGAGGGCTGCTCCCTCACATAATGTTTCGGGAGCCTCTGATATACGTCGCTGCATTTCTCTTCCTGCTGCTCCCCAAAATTGGCTGTTTTGTAGAATTGGCAGCTTCATTAGACTATCCCTACAACTTCCTCTTTCTTCAAAACACTCCCTCTTCCTTCACTCTCTCTCTAATGCCCCCACCTCCTGAGGCCCAAGGGCTTGATCTGATTTCAGGGCCTGGCTAATTCCCCCTTTATTTCTTCTTTGCAGGAGTTTCCGTTTCGAAGCCAGAGGTGATCTTGCTACTGGAGCAAGGAAGAGAGCCCTGGATGGTGACAAAAGCCAGCACAGAAGGCACATGCTCTGGTGAGTGAGAGAGAACTGGGGAGGTAGAGGCCACTGCAAGAAAACCGAGCTCCGCCCTTCTGAAGGGTCCAGCTTGCCATGCGTATTGTCTGGGTGGCTTCCTTAAAGGCTCCAGGCCTGGGACACACATCAAAGCATCTTTTAGCATGAGCTCCCCAACTTACTCTCCTTGTATACATTCTCTCACAGGGTCTCCTTGTCCTCGCCTTTGAGTTTTGCACAAGTCATTCCAACACATGAAAAATATCCAGACACAGTAATGCCTCTACTTTTCCTTTTGCCACTCATTTCTTTTTGGTTGAAGGATTGATTCATTTCTTTTTTCATTATTTTACTAACAATGTTGAGCATCTTTTCATGAACGTATTGGCCATTCATATATCTTTTGTGAAGTGTTCAATTTTTTGCCTAGGTTTTCAGTGGGTTGTTTTTCTTCTTATTGAGTTGTAAGAGTTCTTTCTTTAGATGGTCTTAGAACAAGTCTTGTGTCATTTGTATGTATTGTGATATACGTATGCCAATTGTGGTTTGGCGTTCTTGTTTTTCTACTGCTGCCTTTTGAACATTTGAAGTTTTTAGTTTTCATAAAGTCCAATTTACTTGTCTTGGTTGGTGCTTTTGTGCCATGTCTAAGAAATCCTTGCTACCCCCAGGTCACCAACATTTCCTTCTATTTTTTTCCCCCCTAGGAATGTTCTATTTTAATTTTTACATTTGGGTAATGATCCATTGAGCTAATTTCTTGGGTGAGATAAATATTGAGGTTCATTTCCCCCCCTTCGGATGTTCAGTTATTCCAGGACTCTTTGTTGTAAAGACTTTCCTTTCCCCATTATATTGCTTTGTTGGTACCCTTGTTGAAAAGCAATTGAACATAAATGCAGGGGTCTAGTTCTGAACTCTCTTCTGTTCCATTGATCTACATCTGTCCTTTCACCAGTACCATACCTTCTTGATATCTGTAGCTTTTTAGTAAATTTAGATATCAGATAATCTATTCAAAAAGCCTGCTGGGATTTCACTTGGGATTACGATACATCTACATCAACTTGGGGAAGAATTGACATCCTAACATCATTGAGTTTTCCAGTTCTTGAGCATGGTTTCTTTAGCCATTTGTTAAGGTTTTCTTTCTCTTAGCAATATTTTATAGTCATCCAGTGTAGTGGTTTAAAAATTTTAAAAAATATTTTTCTGAGTCTTATTTTTGTGTGCTATAATTATAAATAGAATTCTTAAAAACTTCCATCTTCCAGTTGTTTGCAGCTAGTATGTAAGAATGTAAAGTGAGTTTTATATGAACTATCTTACAACCTTGCTAGATTCATCTAGTAGTTGAGCATTTTCTGCAGAGACAATCATATTATCTGCCAATACAGTTTTCTTTCTTCCTTTCTGATCCTTATGCCTTGTTTTTCTTGATTTATTATAATAGCTTGGGTCTCCTGTACAATGTTGAATTGTACCACTTGTAAGAGCACATATACTTGCATTGTTCTCAATCTTAAGGGGAACTGTATTCAGTCTTTCACCATTAAGTTGATGTTAGTTTGCTTAGATGCTCTTTCTCAATTTTAGGAAGTTCATTTCTATTCCTGGTTTGCTGATAAATTTTACAAATAAATTTAGTAAAATACTCTTTCTACATCTATTGAAATGATCATATGATTTTTCATCTTTAATCTGCTGATGTAATGATCATTCATTGATTTTCACATATTAAACCAACCTTGCATTCCTGGGATATTTAATTTTTCTAATAGTTACCTTACTGACTATATATGAAGAATTTATGTTTTAATCAACTCTCTTAAGTTCTTATGTATTTTATTCACTGATTTTTGTTTTAAAAGTTCTTTTCTTCTGCATAAACACACACTATTTTCTTACTATCTTTTAGATTGGGAGTATGCATTTAAAAACAGTGAATTTTCATCAAAGCAAGTTATTTATGAAGAATCATCCAAAGTAGTGACAACAGGAAGAAGCCATCTTAGTTACAGCTTTGATTGCCCCAGTTTGATAGAAGACTATGAAAGTGGGGACTGGTTTAACAACAAATTGCAAAGTAAGGAGGTACATCCTAGTCAACTGATCATCACGCATAAGAAAATCCTTACTGAAGATCAAAGTAGTGAATGTACTAAATCTTGGCAAACTTTCCACCAGGATGCAATATTTGCTATAAAACAGGGTTTTCCCACCAAAGAAAGAACACATAAGCATGAGCCACAAAAGAGAAAATACCGCAAAAAATCTGTGGACATGAAGCCTAAGAAAGTCTATGTAGAAAAGAAACTTTTGAAATGTAATGAGTGTGAGAAAGTTTTCAACCAGAGCTCATCCCTTACTCTTCACCAGAGAATTCATACCGGAGAGAAACCCTATGCCTGTGTTGAATGTGGGAAAACCTTCAGCCAGAGTGCAAACCTGGCTCAACATAAGCGAATACACACCGGGGAGAAGCCCTACGAATGTAAGGAATGTAGGAAAGCCTTCAGCCAGAACGCACACCTCGCTCAGCACCAGAGAGTTCACACTGGAGAGAAACCTTACCAGTGTAACGAGTGTAAGAGAGCCTTCAGCCAGATTGCACACCTGACGCAACACCAGAGGATTCACACTGGAGAGAGACCGTTCGAATGTATTGAGTGTGGAAAGGCCTTTAGTAACGGTTCATTTCTTGCTCAGCATCAGCGAATTCATACTGGGGAGAAACCTTACGTATGTAATGTGTGTGGGAAAGCCTTTAGCCATCGTGGTTACCTAATCGTGCATCAGAGGATTCACACCGGAGAGAGACCTTACGAGTGTAAGGAATGCAGGAAGACCTTCAGCCAGTATGCGCACCTGGCTCAGCACCAGAGAGTCCACACTGGAGAGAAACCGTATGAGTGTAAGGTGTGTAGGAAAGCCTTCAGCCAGATCGCATACCTCGATCAGCACCAGAGGGTCCATACTGGAGAGAAACCCTATGAATGCATTGAATGTGGGAAGGCCTTCAGCAATAGTTCGTCGCTGGCACAACACCAGCGGAGTCACACGGGAGAGAAACCTTACATGTGTAAGGAGTGCAGGAAAACATTTAGCCAGAATGCAGGCCTTGCTCAGCACCAGCGGATCCATACTGGAGAGAAACCTTACGAATGTAACGTGTGTGGGAAAGCCTTTAGCTACAGTGGCTCTCTTACCCTGCATCAAAGAATTCACACTGGAGAGCGACCCTACGAATGTAAGGACTGCAGGAAATCGTTCAGGCAGCGTGCACACTTGGCTCATCACAAGAGAATTCACGCTATGGAGTCTTTCTTGAGTCTCTCATCTTCCTCACCCTCCATGTCCAGCCATTTGCTAGAAGCTATAGGTTTTATCTCCTAAATATGCCTTGAATATCACTCCTTTAATCATTTCCACTCCATCATCTTCATCCAGTGCACAATAATCTACTTGACATGGTCTATGGAAATAACTTCCTAACTGGATTACTGTGTTGACCACTTACTTTGTCAGTTGTCACACTGCAGACAAACCTATTAAAAATAGTTTGATCATATCACTCCTCTCATTAAAACCCCTCCTGGCATACTATAGTTCTTAGGTTAAAGCACAGTGTCCTCAAAATAGTCTAAAATAACTTCCCTCAATACCTCGTTCCAGTCTACCTTACAAAGCCCTATCTCATGCCAATATCCATCTCATTCTCTGAAGACTTATCCAGAATTAAGAACTCATGCCCGCATTAAATAGATCTTGGTTCTAATCCTTGCTCTTCCCTTCTTTAGCCCTCTAATTTTGGAGAAACATTTTGTCATTTGTAATCTTCAGTGTTTGTTTGTTTTTTTAAATATATTTCATTGATTTTTTACAGAGAGGAAGGGAGAGGAATAGAGAGTCAGAAACATCGATGAGAGAAAAACATCGATCAGCTGCCTCCTGCACACCTCCCACTGGGGATGTGCCTGCAACCAAGGTACATGCCCTTGACTGGAATTGAACCTGGGACCTTTCAGTCCGCAGGCCGACGCTCTACCCACTGAGCCAAACCGGTTAGGGCTTCAGTTTTATATTATAGAAATAATAATGGTACTACCTCGAAAGTTAATGGGTCCTAGGCCGGTTTGCTCAATGGTTAGAGCATTGACCTGCAGAGTGAAAGGTTGTGGGTTCAATTCTGGTCAAGGGCACATACCTCAGTTGCAGGCTTGATCCCCAGCCTCGGTCGGAGCGTGTGCGGGAGGCAACCAATCAATGTCCCTCTCACATTGATGTTTCTCTTTCCTTTTACTCTCTCTAAAACTCAATGAAAAAAATATCCTTGGGTGAGAATTAACAACAAAAATGTTAATGCAAACATTAAATGCATGTAAATGGCCCGGCAGATAGCCTAGCATAAAGTAGTCTCTCAATAAACTGTAAAATAAAAAGATACTGTGGTATTCAAAGAAAACATGATCATCTTAACAATGATTAGCTGAGAAATAGCAAAAGCAGCAGCTCAAGTCACAGGTTGTAGAGGTTTTTGATTAGGAACAGTGGTCATTGTTCTAAAGGTGGGTGGGTGACCTGGGTATCTAATACAGTAGGATTGATGTTCAGTACGTGATAATAGAGAGTGAGATGGTGGCTGCTATTTCAGCATGACTATCTAGGAATATGACTTTGTTGGTAAGAAAAACTAACTCCATTACATATTAATTCTAAGCAGTCAGATTTTAAAAACCAACTTTCGATAAGTAGAATTTACTTACTGAGATGCAGTCTTCATTTCCATTTAAACAAAGGCAAAAAGATAGTTAAAAGAAAACTTGAAAAATAAAGGGTAAATTTGACCCTTGCTCCTAATTCCAGGGGGATGCATTGTTTTACACCTATGCCATTTAAAATAGAAAAAGTTGAGCTTCTAAGCTGTAATTCTAAGACTGGAGGGGGAAAGAAACCAAAACTATATAGATTGATACTTATAAACTGGCTGCCTACAAACATGTTTGATTTGGTATGCATCAAGTATTTTTTTTAATTTATAGATTTTTTAAAAAGAGAAACATTGATTTGTTGTCCCACTTATTTATGCATTCATTGGTTAATTATTGTATGTGCCCTGACCAGGGTTAGAACCCATAACCTTGGTGTATCAGGACTATAACCAACTGAGCTACTCAGCCAGGGATGGTATGCATTAAATTAAAAAGGAATCTGAATACCTTTAGGTGGGCATGTGTTTTCCAGTTCACCACAGTTCAAACCACTCCCTGTTCCCTTATATCTGACTTGTTTTATATTTCATATTATGTTCTCTTTGAGAATACAGTCAATGCATTAACCAACTCACATGAATACAGGTACAAAGAAAATGATGAAAGTTAATAGAGGGTGAAAGAAGGCTTGAGCAGACATTTATCCTTCTGCAGGGGAAGACTCAGCTCACATGAATACAGGTACAAAGAAAATGATGGAAGTTAATAGAGGGTGAAAGACTTGAGCAGACATTTATCCTTCTGCAGGGGAAGACTCAGTGTTACACTGATGTTAGTAGGCCCAAATTCACCCACAGATTCCTTGTACCTAACAAAATCCTAATAAGAATTTCTTAAGGCTTGAAAGATTGTCTC